CCCGTCCCCCCCCCACACACAGTTGATTTCTAATTCAATTGCATTGTGGTCAGAAAACATGGTATGTTATGGATTATTTGGTATGCCCAGGTTGCGGCCTCGATCCCCAGTGGGGACATGCTGGAGGCAGCGAATAGATGTTTCGTTCTTATGTCAATATTTCTCTCCTCCTCCCTCTAAAAATGAATTTTAAAAAATTAAAAGAAAAAGACTTGCTCTTTGGTTACATCTCATAAACATTCCCCACCTGTGTAAACAAAGAAGTGTAGTATGCAAAGTTCCATATGTGTTCTTTTGTTTGAGCTTGTGCATTTGTTTTGTCTAGTCTTTTTTTCACTATGTTTAAAACAGCTTTATTAAAATAGAGGGTGGGGCAAAAGTAGGCTTACAGTTGTGAGTTTATTCTTATATTAATACACAGATAACATATTCTAGAACTGTACACCTGAAACGTATAATTATGTTAACCAGTGTCACCCCAATAAACTAAAAAAAAAGTGAAGATAAATAATAAATAACCTGTATAATTTACATAACATAAAAGTGTACAGTTCGGTGGTTTTTAGTATACTCACAGAATTGTCTCATCATCACAGTAATCTATAGCTTTTTGGACTCTTCTATTTTCTAAAGCAGTGCTAGGCAATAGAACAATATTGTGAGACAATTTTTTGGCAGAAAACTAACACTAATTGTACATTTTTATGTAACCAATAACATACATATGTTTTCTCATTTTTTAAATTTTATTTTTTAATCCTCACCCTCATCTATGTTTTCATCAATTTTAGAGAGAGAGGAAGGGAGAGAGAGAGAAACACTGATTGATTGGTTGCCTTCTGTATGCACCCCTGCCAGGGATTGAATCTGCAGCCTAGGTATGTGCCATGACCTGGAGTCAAACCTGCAACTTTTGGGGGTATGGGGTGACACTCCAGCCCGCTGAGCCACCCAGCCGGGGCCATATGTTACTTCATGTCATCCCAATAAGTGTGGATCATTGTCCTTAATTCACAGGTGAGGAACTGAGTTTCAAAGGGATTAAGCAATTTGCCTGTGGTTCCACAATGATGGAGCTGGAGTTTATTATTTATCATCTATCTATCATCTATCTATCTATCTATCTATCTATCTATCTATCTATCTATCTATCTATCTATCATCTATCATCATCTATCATCTCTTCTTTTTTTAGTTTATTGGGGTCACATTGGTTAAAATAATTATAGGTTTCAGGTGTACAGTTCTATAATATGTTATCTGTTTATTATATTGTATGTTCACCACCCCAAGTCATTTAATATAATTAAAAATTTTCTGCTAGCCAAATTAAACAAATAAAAAGAAACAAGTGAGATTAATTTAAATACTATCTTTATTTAACCTAATAAAGCTAAAATGTATTTTACCACTCCATTAATAGAAATAATTATAAAATATGTTTTACATTCTTTTTGTAGTCTTTGCGATCCAGTGTGTGTTTTATGCTTTTATAGCGAGTCTCAGTTGAGACCAGCTACATTTCAAGTGCTCAGAGCACGTATGCCGATGGCTACCATATTGGGCAGCGTAGGTCTGTGGTCTTTAAATTTTTTGTCTTCTTGAGCTGTAAATTACTGAGCTTGTGAATTTGTGTATTTCTCTTATAATTTTGTCATTTTCTAGATGAAATGTCCTTGTTATCATTGTCATGAATGTCTCCTAAAGACTTTTGTCTTAAATTCTATTTTACTTGATTACTACCTTTTCCTTTGCTTGGTGTTATCATGGTCTATATTTATCCCTTTGCTTTTTACCTTTATTTTTGTCTTAATGAGTTGTTGATAGCATATGGTTGAAGTTTTTTCTTTAATATGCACTTTTAAAAAAAATAAAATTAATTTAATCTACTTACATTTTTGTGATTATATATATTATTGGACTAATTTCGCCCTTTTTCTCTCTCTCGCTTTCTCTTGTCTGTTTCTGCTACTGATTTGAAAGCTTACATTATATTGTTATTCTTCTAGTGGTCACTGTCAGTTTTTTTTCTAAAAGCTTTTATTGATGTACGGTTAAATTTAAATTGTACAATTTGGCATGTTTTGACATATGTATATATGTGACGCTATCACCACAATCAAGATAATGAAATATCGGTCCGCTCAAAAAATTTTCTCATGCTCCTTGGCAATCCCTCCCTCTAACCCCTTTCAGTTTCTCCTTCATGTCCCACTTACCCCCAACTCTAGGCAACCACAGATTTGGGTAAATACAAGTAGGTGTGGGATGATTGGGTCATATGGTAAATGTGTTTAAATTTATAAGAAACCCCCAAACTGTTTTTCAATGTGGTGGTACCGTTTTCAGTCCTACTGTTAGTGTACCAGAGTGTGAGTTTCTCTGATTCCTTGCCAATACTTGGTATAGTCAGTCTTTCTAATTTTAGCCATTCTAATAGGTGTATAGTAGTAGTAGTTGTGATTTGAATTTTAGTTTTCTGTTGACTTATTTGTTGAGCATCTCTTCAAGTGATTATTTGCCATCCTTAGCTCTTCTGTGGTGAAGTGTTTATTCAAGTATTTTGCTCATTTTTTTCTATTGGGTTGTTGGTTTTCTTATTATTGAGTTTTGAGTTCTTTTTATATTCTGGATACAAATCCCTTATCAGATAATGCAGCTTCCAAATATTTTTTCCCAGTCTGTAACTTGTCTTTATCTTTTAACAGCGTTATTTGAGGACAGAAGTCCTTAACATTGATGTAGTTAAATTTGTCAGAATTTCCTTTTATGGATGTTGTTTTTGGCATTTGGTCCTAGCCCTGTGGACTTCCTTTTTATTCTTGCAAGCATAGTAATTTATAGTTAAAAATCTTTTGTATGTTATGTAGCACTTCTGAATATTTGTAGTAGAGGTGTTCCGTATTCTTCTGCTAGAACTGAAAGTGCAGTGACCAACAAGTGTGTGCTGGAACACTTTTTTAGTTTATAACTTACAGGGATTTCAACCCTCCCATTCTTCTTGATCTTCTTTATAACCTGTAGTTTACCATTTGTATTTTTTCAAACATACGTGTTATTTATAATGTTTTGTCAGAGTAAATTAAAGATAATTTAAGTCAATGAATAAAAATTCAAAGGATAATTTAGTGGGGTAATTAATCACTAATGTAGTTTAATGCTTTCATTAATATCACCATTAGGATTTAAGTAAATTGAATTGATTTTCAGCAGCTATCCAGAAACTTAAAAAGATATTGGTTATTTTAATGGCCATTTTCTATTTGCATGTTTAGTATCTGATTCTTTTCCCCTTTTATTTTTAGATCACAAAATTTTTCCAGGATAGACATAGAGCCAGAAGAAACAGACTTCATAAAGATCAACTTAAGAAACTTCCTATACATAAATTCAAAAAAGGTAAGTAAATATTTTTATTTTCTAAATAATTACCCTTAGTTTATGTAAGAACACATGGTGACCAGACTCTTAATACTACCTTTTGAGTCCTTGCCATGCACTGTGCCTAACACTCAGTTAATAATGAGTGGATGTGGGAAATGTTCGTTTGCTCTGGTGTATCCTCATGAAGGCAGGTAGGGTACATTGTCTGCAGAGAATTTAAAAACAGTAATGAAACTGACCAAATGCTTTTTACCATGTGCTAGTAGTTCTAAAACATCAGTGGATAAAATCCTCTGTGCTTGGGTGGTCTGTTCCCATGGACCTTCTCATTCTCTCCCAGCACACACCATTGCATTAACACTGCATTAACTAAACTCATAGGTAGCTATTGGGTGTCATTATGTTTTAAATACATCATCTCATTTAATTTTCACATTTCTATGAAATGGAAACTGTAAAGGGTATTATAGGTGAAGCACCAGAGGGTCAGAGAGGCAAAAACTAATGTCACACAGCCAGTACTGACAGAGCTGGAGAGGGGTGTGGGTCTAATACTCTAACCAATATAATTTCTCCTACCTATGCTTTAGTGAGCTTTTAGTGCAGGTACATGCTTGTTAAATCCTTTTGGCTAGCAGTTCCCAGCTTTTCAATTTCATATACCAGTAAAAATGTTCCTTTTTTTAATTCAGCAAGAAAATGTATAGAGAGTAGAAAGAAATAGAAAAGTCATTAACACTTAGTTCTGCCAGATTTTTATTTTCCAAGTAATAAAATGTTTAAAAACCTACCATTTACAATAACCATTATTTTATGAAAAATACAAAATTTAACAACAACAAAAATAGGAAAAAACACGTTAAAAGAAAAAGGGACATCTATAAAAATGCACTGCACTGTTATCACACAGTGAGAATTAAATAAAAGCTATTCACAGACCAGAAGTAGTTTGAGGACTGGCTTTAGGAATCACTTTTTAGGCTCCATTTTATGTGTTTATTTTTGTGTTTTCTAAACTCGGGGAAAAAGTTTTAAGAAATGGTGTTGATATTGTCCTGGGCTAAAAAGGGCATGCGTAGTTGGCTTTTCCTCTGAGTAAGATGAGTAACCAGTGAAGGATTTGGAACGGAGGAAAGATAAGGTCTAAACTGGACCTTTCTGCTGCTATGTTAAGAACAGGTGTAGAGGTGGGGGGGAAAGGGACATTGGTGATACTTTCAACAATAAAGATAAAAAAAAAGAAAAAAAGAATAGGTGTGCTGTAGAGGGTTCGAGGGTATATGCAGAGAGACCAGGTAGGAGGCTCCTGCAGTAATCCAAGTGAGATCCGAGTGTGGCTTGGACTATGGGGTAGCAGTGGAGGAGGTGAAGAAGTCTTAAATTCTGGATATATTTAGAAGATGGAATACTCTGGGTTTACTGATGTGGGGAGAGGAAACAAGGGTGACTCCAGAGTTTTTGTCTCAGCAACAGGAAGAATGGCATTGCCCTAAAGAGAAATAGAGGTGTTTAATAAATGGTAGAGCAGGTTTTTGGGGAAAATGTACAAAATTCGTTTTGGATATGTGGAATTTCTGATGTCTACTAGACATTATAAATGAGTTTAAGAGAGGGGTCTGAACTGGAAATATTGGTATAAAGATGTGTTTATATCATGAGACTAGATGAGATTGCCAAGAGAACGAGAAAAGATGGACAGAAGAATACCAAACATGTATTGGGATATTCCAACATGAAGTAAGGAGAAATCCACAGTGGAAGCTGAGGAGGCGTGACCAGTTACACAGGGGAAAGCAGGAGAGAGTAGTTTACCAGAAGCCAAGTGATGCAAGCTTATCAAGGAGCAAGGAGTGATAACCTGTGTCACATGCTCCTGATAGATACAGAACATGGGACAATTATGACAATTGACCATTAGAGTTTATTATATTGATGAGCAGTTTTGACAGTGGTCAGGCCAAAAACCTAATTTTGGTGGGTTTAAGAGGAAATGGAAGGAGAGGGATTGGAGAATGACTACAGACAACTTTTTCAAGAAAATTGACTACAAAGAGGAGCAAAGAAATGGGGTAGTAGCTGCAGGGGGAAGTTGGATCAAGTAATAACAGCATGTTTGCTGATGGAAATTGGTGATGCAGGTGACAGATGGGAGAGTGGCTATAGTTATGTCTTTGAGAAGGGAAGAAGGGATGAGATATGGTGCACAAATAGGTGGATTGGCCTTAGATGGAGAACTGAGCTAAGGGAAGGTAAAATATGTGGGTGCAAAACCCTGTTAGATGGTGGCAAGTCTGTGGAAGTGTTCTTCCATTTTTCTCAGTGAAGTAGGAAACACAACCATCAACTGAGGGTGAGGATAGGACAGGAGATATTGGAGATTTAAGGACACTAAGATAAGATGTTTTACTCTGGGAGAGTGGGCAGGCCAGTGGACTAGGGGATTGTAATACGGTTGCCTGGCAGCCTGAACCCCCCTTTAAGGTTCTTGGTTATGAACCCATCAGCATACTGATTTTTCTCTAGCTGTGTTTATCTGTATGGAGTGGTACTTATCCTTACTACCACTCCCTGCTTTAAGTGTAAAGTATAACATGTATTCAGAAAAGTATATGACATACATTTCTGGAACCATCTAGTTCAAGAAATAGAACAGTACTAGCACCCTAGAAACTACTCTGTCCCCTTCTAGATTATAATCTTTTTTTCCTGACCGGAAGTAATCACTATCCTGGCTTATGATAATCATTTCATTTCCTTTCTCTTAAGTTTTACCACCTATGCATGCACTGCAAAACAGTATGGTTTTCTCTTCCCTTTTTTTGAATTGCATGTTTTATTTTGTCATACCTCTTTTAGTAACAGCTTTTTTTGGTGAAGTTAATCACTTTATAACATGTATATGTACATTTCACTCACCTTCATTTCATCCTATAAATATATTAATTTATCCGTTTTACTATTAATAGACAGTTGTTTTTTGTTCTCTTTTTAGTTTAGGGCTATTACAGACCACACTTCTAAAACATTTTTTACATTCTGGTTTATATGAGCATGAATTTCTTTATGGTGTCTACCTAGAAGTAGATTAGCTGGATCATAGGATATGCCTATCTTCAATTTTGTTGGATAGTGCAAAATCATTTCCAAAGTAATGATGGTGTCAATTTATACTCCCACCAACAGCGTATTGGAGTTCCTGTTGTCCCTCCCACATATTTATAAATATTTTGTACTGATAGACTCTTAAATTTTAGCCAAATTGATCAGTTTATAAATATGTCTCGTAGTTTTAATTTATATTTCTCTCCTTGCCAGTGAGGTTAAATACCTGTATTTTTACCTCCAGCTGGATTTTCACTCTCATGAATTACCTTTCATGTCATTTTCCTGTGAGGGTGTCGCCTCCCCACCTTCCATATGCAGGGAGGACTTCTTTATGTCCCCTCACAGCTCCCACCTGGAGGCATGGTATGGGCGAATGAGCTCTTCACTAATGTTATGTGTTTGGACTGTCCTCTTGTTTGTGGCTTATTTTCCACAGGACTAACGTTCTTATCTTTTATGGTGGTGTTTTGCATATTTTAAAAGAACTTCTTCCCTAGCCCAAAATCATATAAATATTTATATTATCTCCTGAAAGCTTTATAGTTTGGCCTTTCACATTTGAGTATTTAATCCACCTGAATTGATTCTGTAAAATGGGGGTCCATTTAAGGAGTTTACAGTTTGATATTTCACATACATATATGGATATCCAGTTGTCTGAGAGCTAGTTATTAAAAATACCGTGTAATCTGACATAGCTCAAGGGTCTGTGTGTGTGGTTGTTTCTGGACTGTTGGTCTTACTGTCTCTCCTTATCACACTGTTTTAGTTACTGCAGGTTTAGGTAAGTCTTGATGTCTGAGAGAGTCCTCCCACCTGTTCTTTAACAGTTTTGAACTATTCTTGACACCAGGCATTTCCATGTAAAATTTAAAATCAACTTGTCAAGGCCGCCCCACCTGCAAACATAGACACACAATTATTGTATATTTTGTAGTAAAATATACATTACATAAAATTGACCATTTGAACCATTTTTAAGTGTGTAGTGAAATACACATAATGTAAAACTGACCATCTTTAAGGGTACAGTTCAATGGCATTAAGCACATTCACGCTGTTCTGCAGCCATCACCACCATCCATCTCCAGAGCTTTTCCATCCCCCCAACCGAGGCCCTGTCCCCAGTAAACATAACTGCCCTTTCCCTGCTCCCGCCACTCCGAGGCAGCCACCCTTCTACCTGCCCTTGCTCTTTATTTCTATTTATGTCTTCTACTCTTCTCTGCATTTTGCGGTTTCAACTGAACATTTTCTGATTTCATTTTCTCTCCTTAGTTTATTAATTATACTTTTCAAATTTTTCTCTAGTGACTGTCCTAGAGTTTGCACTGTACAACTAACTAAGTGCACTTTCAGATACTATACTGCTTCCCTGGCAGCAAAGTACCTTATAACAAAATATTTCTAATTCCTCCCTCCCATAGCACTAGGGACATTGCTGTCATTCTTTTCACATGAGCATCTGTAAACACAGACAAGCATATACAGTTGAGTACGTTGTAGCTGTCGCTGTTTTGAACAGACTGATCTGTGAAATCAGTTAGGAGTGAGAACAAGGTTTTACCTTCCTTCGCTCAGTCCTTCTCAAGTGCTGTGCCTTCCTTTATGTATATTCGCGTTTCTCACCTCTAGCCTTTTCCTTCTCTCTGCAGCTACTTTTAACATTTCTCCCAAGGTAGGTCTGTTGGCAACAAGTTCCCTCAGTTTTTGTTTGTCTGAAAAGTCTTTATTTTCCCTTTTGTTTGCTTAAGTTTTATCTTTTTATTGTGGTAAAAAACACACATCATCACATTTACTGCCATAATCATTTTTAAGCGTATGGTTCAGTAGTGTTAAGTATATTACGTCGTTGTACTATAGATCTCCAGAAATTTTAAATCTTGCCACACTGAAACTCCACACTCATG